TAATGACTTCAAATCATTTTGAATGAACAATTATATAACAAATTCAAATTATATAACAAATTCAAATCAACCAATATGAATTGTTGATTGTCGAGCAACAAGAAAAATTTCTCCTATGTACGTATTGAAGCAGGCCTGCTTAGCAACATATTGTAGCAATTATAGCTACTTTAGAAGTAATAAACTGCTAAAAGAGAAAAAAGCAGCCTCTAACAGCTATTAGCTGGAGCTTGCCTGGTATCAACAGCTAGGCCATGGTGCTCTCCCATGGAACATGAGCAATTTCACAGAAAACCATCAAACAAGGCCCCTCTATAACCATGATAAAGCAAGACAAAAACAAAACCACTGTAGGATCACGTCTGGGTATGGATAAATGTAACAACATTGGGTAAACTACACGAATGATTAAATGGTTCCCTTTATCCAACTAACATAACTGTTGCTTCTTTAGTAATCATAGCTTTAGCTCATGATGTTCCTCTTGCCTCCTAGATACATATTCTAAAGTTATAAAATGACAGGACTGTCCCCTACTTTCTTATAACACTAAATTATGTTTTTCTGAACTTTCCTAAAATCACCTAACACAAGCCCAAATCCTGTAACAAGCCCCTTCTTCACACCCACTTACTGGAATGTATCATGGTTCTCTATGGTGCGCAATCTCCCTTGACGTAATAAACAGATCTCTGACTACAGATCTGCAGTATTTGGTTAACGGGTACAGGCACTGCATTTCCTTTCAAATATTCCCAAACCCACCCTACATATTATTTTGACCAGCCTTTTTAGCCTAAAAAGTAAATTATTATGATATTGGCATAAGAATAGGCAGAAAGATGGAAGAACATTTTAACCCAGATACAAATCCTAGTACATAACATAAGTTAATATATGACAAAAGAGTATTACAACCAGATGAAACTGAAGCAGTAATTTTAAAATACCTCCCAGCAAACAAAAGTCCTGGATCATATGGCTTCACAGAAGTGTTTTACGAAACATTCAAAGAAGAACTAACACCTATCCTCCTCAAACTATTCCAAAAAATCCCAGAGGAAGAAACATCCAAGCTCTTTTTACGAGGCCTGCATTATCTCAATTTCAAAACCAGATAAAGACACTAAAAAGAAAGAAAATTACAGGTCAATATCCCTGATGAATATAGATGCTAAAATCCTCAACAAAATATTAGCAAATCAGATCCAGCAATACATTAAAAAGATCGTACACCACAATCAAGTGGGATTTATTTAGGAGATGCAAACTGACACAATATTCACAAATTATTAAATGTGATACATCACATAAACAAAATGAAGGATAAAAATCACATGATCTTATCAATAGATACAGAAAAGGCATTTGACAAAAATCTAGCACTCATTTTTGATAAAAACTCTCAGCAAAGTGGGAAAAGAGGGATCATACCACAACATAATAAAGGCCATATATGACAAACCTACAGCCAATATCATACTCAATGGACAAAAACTAAAAGCATTTCCCTTAAGAACAGGAACAAGATAGAGATATCCACTTTTACCACTCTTATTCAAGATAAGTACTGGAAATCATAGCCACAGTGATCAGACAAAAAGAAAAAAATCAAAGATTTCCAAATTGAAAAGGAAGAAGTATAATTGTCATTATTCACAGACAACATGATATTATACATAGAAAACTTAAAGACTCCACCAAAAAATAAAAAATACTAGAATAAATGAATTCAGCAAAGTAGAAGGATACACAATCAACATCCAAAAATCAAAGGCATTTTTATACACCAATGAACTTTCAGGAAAAAAAAAAAAAACAAAAAAAAATCCCATTTACCATTGCAACAACAACAAAAAACTAAGATACCTTGCAATAAACTTAACCAAGGAGGTAAAAGACCTGTTCTAGAAAAACTACAGGACATTGAAAAAAGAAACAGAGGAAGATACAAACAAGTGAAGCATTGGGTGTTCAAGGATTGGAAGAATTAACATCATTAAAATGTCCATACTACCCAAAGCAATTTGTAGATTCAATGCCACATATTTCACATACCTTGAAAAAATATTCCAAAAATTTATATTAAGCCAAAAAAGACCCCGAATAGCCTCAGCAATCTTGAGAAAGAAGAACTAAGTTGGAGGGATCACAATACCAGATATCAGGTTATACTACAAAGCCACTGTAATCAAAACAGCCTGGTAATGGCACAAGAACAGTCATAGAGACCACTGGAACAGAACAGAAACCCCAGAAATTGACTCACATCACTGTGGTCAATTAATATTTGACAAAAGATGCAAGAAAATACAATAAGGTAAAGACAGTCTATTCAATAAATAGTGTTGGGAAAATTGGACAGGTACATGCAAAAAGCTAAAACTAGATCACCAACTTACACCATACACAAGAATAAACTCAAAATAGATAAAAGACTTAAATGTAAGCCACAAAACCATAAAAATCCTATAAGAAAACATAGGCAGCAAAATCTTAGACATCTCCAGTAGCAGAGTTTTCACTGATACATCTCCTAGGGCAAGAGAAAAAAAGGAAAAAATAAACAAATAGGACTACATCAAATAAAAAAGCTTATTTACAGCAAAAGAAACCATCATCAAAATGAAAAGGTAAACCACTGTCTGGGAGAACATATATGCCAATGATACATCTGATAAGGAGTTAATTTCCAAAATATATAAAGAACTCATACGGCTCAACAACAGGAAGACAAATAACCCAATTTAAAAATGGGCACAAGACCTGAATAGGCACTTCTCCAAAGAGGACATACAGATGGCCAAGAGACATGAAAAAATGCTCAGTCACTAATCATCAGAGAGAGATGCAAATTAAAACTACAATAAGATATCACCTCACACCTGCCACAATGGCTACCATCAATAAATTAGCAAACAACAAGTGCTGGCGAGGGTGTGAAGGAAAAGGAATGCTAGTACATGGCTGGTGGGAATGGAGACTGGTGCAGCCACTATGGAAAACAGAATGGAATTTACTCAAAAAATTAAAAATGGAACTACTGTTTGACCCAGCAATCCCACTTCTAGGAATATATCCTAAGAAACCTGAAACACCAATCAGAAAGAATATATGCACACCTAGGTTCATAGCAGCGTTATTTACAATAGCTAAGATCTGGAAACAGCCCAAGTGCCCATCAGTAGATGAGTGGATAAAAAGCTGTGGTACATTTACACAATAGAATTCTATGCAGCTGTAAAAAAGGATTTCTTATCCTTTGTGACAGCATGGATGGATTTGGAGCATATCATGTTGAATTAAATAAGTCAATCAGAGAAAGACAAATATCACATGATCTCACTTATAAGTGGAATCTAATGAACATAATAAACTGACAAACAAAATAGGTCCAGAGGCATGGACGCATGAAACAGACTGACATATCTCAGAGGAGAGTGGGTGGGGGGGAAACAGGAAGAGATTAACCAAAGAACTTATATACATATATGCATAACCAAAGGATACAGACAGTAGTTTGGTGAAGGCCTAGGGTGGGGTAGGGGCTGGGTGGAAGGGGGGAAAGAGGAAGGTGGGGGACATCTGTAATACTGTCAACAATAAAATAATAACATTAAATTAAAATTATTTTAAATAAATTTTGTATACAAAATTGTATTATATACAAACCTCACAAGGTGGATTATAATTAAATCTGTTTAACCTATTTATAAATAAGCTCCCTTTTATGCAAACTAATTTACAACATTTTAATAACTATAGATTTAATGTTTTATAACAATGCTATTGAGAGTAGAAACTAACAATAATTAAAACTTATTACACATAATTTACTATAAAACTAATTTTAATAATTTCAAATAAATTTTGTGGAAGTACAAAAAAATTTAATACTTAATTTCTGTGATTTCAAAAATTTACTATTTCTTCCCTGGCCGGGTGACTCAGTTGGTCAATCAAGGCACATACCTATGGTGCAGGTTAGATCTCATTCTACTAGAGGCAACTGATCGATGTTTCTCTCTCAGCTACATGTTTCTCCTCTCTCTCTCAAATCAATTTTTAAAAAGTATCCTCAGGTAAGGATTAGAAAAAAATTTTACTGTTTCTGCTTATGTATTCAAACACATTTATAAAACTTTATTCATCTATATCATATGAATGATATAACTTTTTTGTTATACATGCCAGGTCAAACGCACATTCCTAGGACACCCCAAAAAAGGAAAATAAAAATTATAAATCACTTTAGTTCAGAAAATATAACAATACCTCCATATATTAACATAATACTTGTTTTGTAAGTTCTCCTCTCTCCCCATCAAAAACAATTTTTTGCTCATTCATTAGAAGTTCAACATTAAAGTATAATTACCTAAAATGTTTCTCCACTAAACCAGAACACAGACTACTTTTGAGTTCTTATGAGTATTAAAAGTTCTTACACTTATTAAGCCCATGACATTTGTTCATTTATTTGTTTAGAGTTTAAGACTCTGGGGGTGTTTTTATTCAGAATTTAAACAATGAATTTAAAACAATGCCATTAGATCTTTTAAAGCGAACCTATTCATCTATTATCTACTTAATTCTAGCAACATCTTAATAGCTGTAATCATTTTACTGAACAGTGAAATAAAATAACAATTAGTTTATCTGAATAACATCACAGGATTAACCAGAATGATGATTTTCTCTTCTATACATAAATATTACATTAAAAAATTTCTCCACTATTGGGCCTTACCATTATCTTGCAGATTCTATTTTTGTGTTTGTTTGCTTGTTTATTTCCCCCTTAAACTGCCATTGCTTATTAAGTTGATTCCTGGAATACCTTTAATAAATTAAACTGACCTATCTACAGAGTTCTCTGCACCAGATTCTCTGATGCTGGTATCTAAACAATTTCCAGTCATGTGTGTGTGTTTCAACTCTTCTTTCTTCGCCACAGCAAAATAAAGAAATAATAGGCTTTAAGCCAATTCAAAACTTACCTTGCAAATCTGGAAATACTCTGAAGTCAGAGCTTCCTGAATCTCTTCTCTGAGAACCCCTGCAGTCCCTCCTGAGTGCATGGAACCACTTCCAGGCCCACCACCACTGTTACCGCCACTGCTGCTACCACTGCCAGGGGAGGAGGCAGTTAAGCCATCCAAAACTTTTCGGAAATTAAACTTCTTCATTTTAAAAACTGTTGAGAAATTCAAAGGAAAGGGTGACTTAACACATGAAATTATACCCAGGTAAAAGTGTTTAGCTTTTCATTAGCCAAGGCAATAGCGAGTCCTCATTTTTACTATCATTGGCTATACAGGACTAAAAAAAGTCAGGCTACATATTATCAAATTTTAATTCTAAAAAGCATATTTTTCAAACTAAAAACCTCAACAGTATATCCTCATACACCACATTTTCAAGGGCTTTATCCCCAGCTGTGGTTATGCTTTATCAACACTGGGGTAAAAATAAAAGGCAGTGTCATCGTCGTCATTAGCATTATATCATCATCATTATACAATCAAACCAGAGTCCAACAGACCAAGTCTATGTCTCTCTCTCTCTTAATGGCGGGCTTTCCAACTAAAGGTTCAGGTCAGAATATTTTATTTCCATAAAAATGATATTGGGGGTTAGGGGGAGCCGGTGCACCACCTTCTGGGCTGTCCCCTCATCGTCTTCAACGCTCCCTTTTTCTCAGTAAGAAATGGGGCGCGGGGTCTTTTTCCATCCCCCACCCCCAACAGCCCGGACCCCAAAGCAACTGTGGGTGACCTACAGCAACAGCAAACCGGAGGGGGCGCGGCGGCACCAGCTGCCCCCGCTTCTCCCTCCTCTACCCCCCTTCCCTCCCCGCGTCTCCGGCCCCCCTTCCTCCTCTCCCCGTTCCACCCCCCTCGCGCCCCGCTCTGCCCGCAGCCGCCGCCGCGCTCGCCCGCCGGTCTGCTGTCTCCGCAGCACAGCGGCCGCTCTTGCGGGACGTGAAGCAGTGGCGACGGCTGCAGCCGAGTCCCTCCTCTGCCAGCTGGGCGCGCAGAGCCGCGGCTCCCGCGGTCCCTCCCTGGGCCAAGCGCCTAGGCGCTGGGCTCTGGCCCGCGGACACACAAACACCGTCGCGCAGACATTCACGCGCGGGCGCTCACGCTCACAAGACGCACACACAGGTGTGAGGGAGCCGCGGCTGGACGGCGGCGTCCGCGTCCCAGAGGGATGGCTATTTGACTCCCGACTTAAGCACCTTCCTCAGCCGCCGCTAGCTGCCTGCAAGCCGGAGAAGCTCAGGGTGCGGAGAGAGGCGGGCTCCAAGGCGTCCGTCCAGCCCGGCTCGGCTCCCGCCGCTTCTCCAGTCCCTTCAGTAGCGGCGCCCGGCGCTCTCCGAGGTCCTAATCGAGCAAGCGAGCTCCACTGCAGGCTCCGCCCTCCCGCCGTGGGAGGCAAGCCCCGCCTCTAAACCGCCTCCTCGCTCGCTCCGCCCTCTCCTGCCCGGACCGCTGGGGGGGGCCGTGAAAGGGGCGGAGAGCGCCCAAAACATCAAAGGGCGGGAGTAGCTTTCGCTGCAATCCGAGGCTCGATAGGGCCAATTTCCACGGTTGCAAAACGCGGAAGAAATCTGGGGATAGGCCGAAGGAAAAGCCAATGAAAGGGGGAGGGGAGAATTTGGAAAGGTAGGTGAAGTATTTGATTGACAGCGGTAGTGGCCAGTATGCTAGACGGCCGTGCTTTAGGGGTTGTAATTGGCGCTACCTGTTGAAGGACGCAAGTGGGAATCAATAGAATGCCTGGAAGCGTGCGAACTTGGGCTCTGAGCCTGAGGCTTTCGGAAGGTTTTCCCTAGGTCTGGCTCTGGACAATACTGTACATTTGGCCAGTGTTTTGCAGTTTATCACTTCAACCAACCTCTTCCCGCTGTCCAGGTGCATCATTTTGCTTCCGTCGCTGCTCTGCTGCTTGCATAATGGCTTAACGGGTCTGCCAAAGGGAATTGTATTTCAATAGCGTTTTAGGGGTATAATATATAGCCTTAGAGAAACTAAAGAATTAATTGTTCACGTTGTTCCCTCTAACACGTAGAATTACCTCATTCCCCCCCATTTTCACATTTACAAAGATTTTTTAAAAATTATTTCTCTCACAGTAAGCGGTGTCAAGAATATATTTTAAGCTTTTTCTATGAGTCACGTGATCACTTTAAAAGATGCACTATTAGCTGCAGGATTTTTCTTTCTTTCTTTTCTTTTTTTTTTTAACAGCATCTGGATAGGAAGATTTTGTTCTAAGCTCTGCATTGGGGAAAATGTGTACCTCGATTTCTTTCTCTGGGAAAATGAAGGGCAGCTCAGCGGGCCATAGCTAAGTGTAGACTTCAGTCTGGGAAACACAACAGAACTCATCAGTAATCCCAAATATTCTTACATTTTAGAAATCTAGAATGACCTTTTTTTCCCCTTTTTTTCTGTTGTGTGTGTGTGTGGGGGGATGGGGTTGGGGGAGAGATGAAGGGGGAGACCTGAAAGAGAAATGAGTTGCTCAAGGTCACATAGCAAGGAAATGGCAAAGATGGAGTAAAGCCCAATTATTCAGATCCTCAGCTCAATACTTACCCTCTCCTTTCTAATTTTTCAGTAGTTCATGTACCTCCCAAAGACCCTCAATACTGCCTGGTAGCTCTCGTTGCCACAGCTAGACGATAAAACTCTTAAAGGCAGACAGAATTTTATATTTCTCCTATCTTGTTTAGCAGCTAGCACAATGTTTCACATATAATTGGCACTTAAAGAGTTTTGAACAGCTGGTTTATTAATGATTATTAGTAAAAGATTTATGAGATGGTATCCAATTATATCCTGTTTGGGAGGGGTAAAAATAAGGGTGGAAACAAATGCCATGTCTGATGTTAACTAGATTTTGGGAGGGTTCCAAATTTTATATTGGATTTCTAACAATATGTACCTTTGTCTTTACTCTCTTTTTACATTTTTTCCCCTTGTCTTCTTCCTGGTTCATTTCACCTTTAATTATGGGTGCCTATTAAGGCTAAAGAGTTTGCTTTTCTTTTATTTATGTCTGACTTTTCTTTAAATGGCTAGGGCTGGGGGGTTGGGGGCTGCTCTAACTCTTTGAGAAGTAGGCATTGTTGTCTAAAATAATGGATTTACATGTCTTCCTTCCCTTCATTAGAAAGTCTGTCAACAACTCCTTAATTTTCAATAAAATGAAAACAAGCCTATACCGAGTGGTTTGGTCTTTTGATGAGAGTGAAAAAAGAAGATATTCTGATTCAGCAAAGTGAAATGTAACTTTTGCAAGAAAACCCTTTAAACCACCAATCACTAATACTGTAATATCTTAGCAAACTACTAGGTGGTTTTTATTCTAAAAATTGGGGGAGAACTGAGAATGAAAAAATACACAAAACAGATTGACAAAGATTCTGCTTGAGGACCCTGAAGGGTATTCATTGGCCTACTTGAGTTAAAAAAAGAGGTGCTAGATATCCTTTTAGATGGGAAAACAAGTAGGAATAAAACAAAAGCCAAGACAGAATATATAAATGTTTACAAACAAATACAAGAAGCCTAAAAAGTAAAATATAATTAGAAGGCTGACATTGTGGACTCTTTGGGACTATTTTAAATATCTTTGTTCCACACAAAGATAGCAGAGTTCCGTATGCATAGTAAGTGTCCAGTAAAGTTAGTTTGAATAAATGATAGCAAGTAAAAATCTTAACATAATTGAAATCTCATAGAAAGAGAACCTGTGGACAGAGGCTATTGTGATGCAAATTCACAAACTGTAAGCAAAGGATAGAAATGAGCAAGAAACAAAGTATATTATATACATTATAACGTAAAAATCTTCTTGGGTGAGAGAAGCACAATGAAATATTTATGGAAGTAAATTTCATTCTTAATAAGTTAAAGAGAAGTAACATGTAAACCATCTGGTACAGGGAAAGAGATCAGACCATAAAATATATCTTATAAATAATGTAGGAGACTTTAGAATTGAGTCAGATAACAATAATGGAGAGCTTTGATGATTTTACTGCAAACTAGAAGAATACTTCATGGAGGGGGGTTTCCGATAAGCCATGACGTTTTCCTAAAATTACAAGTACGAAGAACTGCAAGAAAGAAAAATAGTCTAAACTTAATTCTTGGAGCAAAATCATCAAATCATTCAAACAAATCTAATCCATTGGGAAGATTTTTAGGATATATGTAAAAAGTACATTACAACTCACTTTAAGGGATTGTGATCTTGGATTCAAGCAAATAATGAAACTAATAAAAGCTGCTTTTTCACATCCTAAAAAAATAAATAAATAAATGTAGAAAGTACATACATCTGTGGTATTTTGCACAGAGAAGGTTTGCTAAATTGACTAGACTTGGAGAAAACTAAGCCTAATTGTCAAAACACATATAAATAAAAGATAACAAGTTCTACCAGTTATTTAGTTCCCATATGCCTGATACTATGAAATTTATAAACATCCCTCTCTTCTTTTTTTTAAATCCTCACTCGAGGATATTTTTCTGTTTACCTTCAGATACAGTGGTAGGGAGGGAGGGAGGGAGAGAGAGAAACATCAATGTGAGAAAAACACATCAATCGGTTGCCTCCCTCACGACCCTGACCAGGGCCCAGGACTGAACTACAACCAAGGTACATGCTCTTGACTGGAATGGAACGTGACTCATTGGTCCACTGGCTGATACTCTACTGCTGAGCCTAAATGGCCAGGGCAAAACAAACATCTCTTTTAATTTGATCCTTGTTATAACTATATAAGACAGCTGTTTTTTCATTTTACTGGGAGGAAACTTGAGACTGAGAAAAATTTGAGAAATCCACCCAAGGTCATTTAAATGGATAACCTAGTCTTCAAATTCAAGGCCAACTTCTAAGATCATGCTCTTTATCACTGCCTTATTACTAATTATAAGATGAAATAGGAACTGGAATAGGAAAAAGGTGGAGGTCAATTCTTCTGAAATAGTTGAGTATGTGCGTATTAATTTGCCAGGGTTACCATAACAAAATACTAAGACCAGATTGCCTTTTTTTTTTTTTTTAATCCTCACCTGAGGACATTTTTCCATTTTTTGTTCAGATGGAGTGGGAGGGAGGGGGGGAGGGGGGTGAAAGAGAGAGAGAGAGAGAGAGAAACATTGATGTGAAAGGGACACATCAAGTGGCTGCCTCCAGCACGGCCCTGACCCAATCAGGGTTGGGGACAAACTGCAACCAAGGTATGTGCCCTTAGCAGGAACCAAACCTGGGTTTCTTTGGACCGCAACGCTCTAACCACTAAGCCAAACCGGCTAGGGCTAGACCAGATGGCTTAACAGAAGTTAATTTTTCTCACAGTTGTAAAAACTAGAAGTCCAAGATAAAAACATCAGGATGTTTGGCTTCTTCTGAGGCCTCACTCCTTGGCTTGCATTTGACCTCCTTCTTATTGTATCTTCACATTGTCTTTCCTCTGTGTGTATGCATCCCTGTGTCTCTATGTGTCCAGATTTCTTCTTCTTATAAAAACAGCAGTCAGGTTAGATTAAAGCCCACCCTAATGGCCTCATTTTTACATAATCACCTCTTAAAGGGCCTGTTTCCAAATACAGTCACATTCTGAGATACTGGGGATTAGGTCTTTAACATGAATTCTAGTGAAACACAGTTCAGATCATAACAAATGACAATTAAATTCAACATTCTTTGAGCAGAGCATCTACAATAAGCTGGAACTGTGTAAACAATTTTATACTTAGTTTCTCATTTAATCCTCACACCATTTATGTATAGTAGCTATTGACATCTCTATTTTACCAGTGAAAAAGAAAAAGGAAGCAAAGAAAGTTTAAGTAGTATGCCCAATATCATACATCTAGTGGGTTGTGAAATAGGAATTTGGGCTCACATAATCCCAAAGCTCTTTCCTCATACTGTTAGCTTTCTTTGGAAAAACCAAAGAAATCCTACTATGTAGATATTTGATATTAAAAAAGGAAATTATTACAAAATTTAAATATTAGGATAACAATTTGTAAAAAGGAAAATATCTGCTAAAGAGTTTGGACACTAGAACTAAAAAGGAATTTTGGAGTTGGGGAGTGAGTACTAGAAGTAAAGAACTTTTGGGATGGCAAGCTAATTGGAGGTTCTTTTCTCACAAGGAATCTCAGTATACTTTGAAATATATTAAGAATCCCAGGGGAATATCCCACTAATATAGAATAAATCAGTTATTCAATACCTAATTAGACATAGTTAGGCAGTACTAAATTGCTCAG